TCTTGTTGGGGAGGGATGCATTAACCCTCGTCAAAGGGCTGGTGTTCCCACATAAGCTTCCGGCTGAATCTTTATCGAACACCCTGTCCGACTGCAAAACAGGTTTGGTGGTTTCAGGAAGTTGACACTTGGCTGTCATTAATTCACTTACTTCCTCCTTTAGATCTTCAACAGTTTCCCCAGTTTCTTTGTTACAAGACAAACTCATACTTGGAGGATTCTGGCTTAAAGGTTTTGAGCACTGGCTTGATGATGTTCCATCTGTAGAGACAATTGGCAATTTAGCATAACAACTTCCAGCTTCCTCAAGTCCATTATCTATTTTGATGCACAAAAACCAAACAATTACCATCAGAAGCTTGCATCAAGTATGGAAGCAATCTCTTATAGCTAAAAGAACCAGTGTTCTTGAATATCTTAGGTCGAGAACATGGATGGAGAACCTAAAGCAAAAGCAAATCAAGCAACCAACAAAAAATAGTAAACATTAAAATTTAAATGTATCATTAAACAAAGCCACAAGAAACACATACCGATTTGCTACATAAATTAGTATCACTTTTCTTCACTGCTGATCCATTGATATCTTCACGGATAGGTACACTGCTTAACAATTCGGAATCCGGTGGCGTCGTTTGCCGAAAATTATCTCCATCTACATTACCTACTCCACCAACATTACGAAATCATCAATCTAACCATAAAATTCCTCTAATTCAACATTCTTCCATCAAATTCAAAATTCGTAAAATGATTCAATCTACAAATTCCAAGATAAAGAAACTTACTCTTCGAATTGCCACAATCGCAAGGACACTCATGATATTGTCTCTTGGTTTGATTTTCACCTTTGCCGTTACATTCGCAGTCGGTGGAGATCGGAGTTGGAGAGAAGATGCGTCGGAGACGAATATCCTTGATGGTGACTCGTGGATACGTACGAACGATTTTCGAATCGATTTTTCCATAGAGTGATGGTGATTGATGGACGCGAGCGGCAGTTGCGATTCGTTGATTCTGTGATATTCTTAGAGTGAGGATCTCTGTAGCTGATGGAGACGAGAATCGCATCCTCTTCCGAGAGATCTGATTTGATTCCGCCATTGTTAAACCTTCGTCGCGCGAGAGAGACAGATTTCGTTAATATTTTATTTGTTGGGAGACTTGGGAGTGATGCTGAAAGCAAGTGGATTAACGTGTGGATGTTTGGCGGGAAATTAGATGGCGGGAAAGGAGTTAAGCGTGGATTTTGTGCGGGAAATAGTATAAAAGGCTTACATGATATAGTTGAGCTAGGCCCATATAAGCCCACTATGATCATTTCTTTCCTTCTTTTGTTATTCTTTTCATCTTTTGGCTCAATAATTTATTTTCCTTTTTAATAATAAGTGATTGATTTGAATTTGTCGAAAAAAATGTGATTGTATTGAATATTGATGATATTGAATTTGATAAAATAAAACCGGATTGTTCAGTGGGTTGGTTCAATTGTGTTCCGGACCGAAACAATGTTCACTTTGTTTTTCATGAACCGGTTCAATTTGAAAACCATTTGAACTGGTTTTCTATATAATTCTATTTTCTGTCTGTCATATAAGATTTATGCATATGCAAGAATTTAGGTTGTTTTTCATTCTCTCTTATTGCTTCATGGTTCTATTTTGAATATGTGATTTTGTAACATAAATATGTAATATGTGACATGGTGCTCACTCAATGTCACTTTGTTTTTTCATGAACCGGTTCAATTTGAAAACCATTTGAACTGGTTTTCTATATAATTCTATTTTCTGTCTGTCATATAATATTTATGCATATGCAAGAATTTAGGTTGTTTTTCATTCTTTCTCTTATTGCTTCATGGTTCCATTTTGAATATGTGATTCTTTGGGTATTTGAAGGAAAAAAAACTCTCAACTTATTACACAGAAGAATTTGTAACATAAATATTTGAAGACTGCTAAAAATATATTATATCAAAGATTATCTTATATATCAATCTTTTAAAACGTAATTCACTTTATGAAAATGTATATTCACTAATAAGTTTTTTTTATTCTGTAAATTGTTTAATTTCGTCGAATTGGTAGTGTCGTGTAAACGTGGTTCTAATGTTAATCATCTCTTCTAAAAATAATTCGAAATTGTGATCAATCATATGGTCAATCAATAGGGCAATACTTCTTCCACGGTCGACAAAACAATAACTAGTTTGGGGTTTGGGACACCCAAAAAAGGGAAAAGTTCTTACAGGACATGCAGACACGAGAACAGACTGTCACATGCAATGCTGATCGTCATTCATCACCAAGTTTCTCACGTCCACATATGTAAAAGCTGATAATGCATTTTAATCATTTTTATATATGGGAAGTGTAACTATAACGATACTGTATATAAATCTCAATGGTACGCCTATAGATAGACATAGATTTAGGAAATTTTATTTTCCATTTTCTTCCAAAATCCAGCAGCGCCGTCAAGATTCTTAAGAATGATTTTGTCACAGCTCATCGATGTATTAAATGAATATAAAACAAAATCACACAGCTCATTGAATGCTTTTATGCTCAAGTGCTTTGTCTACTTTAAATTATAACCATATATGCAAACTGATTTGCATTCATAAAACCAAAAATATAAAAAATGATATTCATATACAACCCCTTCACATAGCTTATACACCGAATTGTTTGCGTAAGTGTGTTATCAATTGACTAGAAGAGTCTAAGTTTGTTTTATTATTACATGAAAATAAATATTTGTTGCAGTCAAAAAATATTTGTTGGAGATGGACTACACAACTTCCAATTATACCATGAATCGAGTTCGATTCATTAACTAGAGCCCCGCGAATCTTGACGTCGACCTTCGAGAAAAAAACGATAGGTTCGAAGTTCGAATACAAACAAAAATAAACGATACACTTAAATCCGAGTAAAAAAAGTAATGATCGATTAAACCGTTAATGGCCTAAAAAATAAGGTAACTCGCCAAATAAACAACCTCATATAGATAAGGAATCTTTCCATTGAAGAACGATTGAACACATTCGCACAAGATGGAGAACATTTAATTTCTTAATTCTTTGTACCGATTATCTCGTTCATTGATAACATAATCTCTTTTTTTTTGTTTTCTTAATCGCCGAGCTAAAGTTAAATAAATGAGATTCTTTTTATAATCCCACTTGAATTATTACTTGCTTTGCCTCTAGTAATATCTCGATCTTTTGTTACATTATTACTTTTATAAGTTTTTACAAATTAATGCAACATTTAATAATAACTTACTTAAACCCATAAGTATTCAGTGTAATGTTTTTTGCAAACTTAAATGTACTCATTGCAAACCAGATTTTATAACAAAAATAACTTGTATTATTTGACCAAAAAGAGGTGCACAAAAAAAAAAAAATATATATATATATATATATATTTGACCAAAAAGTATTTTGTAGTGGTAGCATCGTTATTGTGACATAAAATCTAGTAACATGTATAAATCGTAAACGATTGAAAAATTGATTAAAGGTAGGTCGGTTATATAAAATAAAGTTACATTCCAGTCGCATCTTTTATGATATCCGTTTTTTTTAAATTTTATTTAAAATATAAATTCGGTCAAAAGAAGCTGTTCACCTCTCTTTGGGATATCTTTTGAGAGTTTGTTTAAGATTTAAGAAGCCAATTGACTCTTAATTTTTTATTTTAAATGTTAAGCAAACTCCATTCGTCTACTATTTAGTCCATTTTAATAAGGGGTGGTAAACGAAAATCTTAAGCTTCACCGACTCTCACCCATTTGTCCTTTGCTAATTTACTTTGGTTGTATTTGTAAGTTCAATATCCTTAGAGATACTAGATAATTTAGATTTGATACATTATTTTTTAATTGTACAAAGTTTTATATTATTTCTGTTTTAAAATATACGATGTTTAAATTAAAAGCACATACTTTAAAAAGTTCATTATTGTTTTAAAAACCAACATTTAATATTAAATTTTAAAAATTCAATTAATGATATAAAAGATTATTGAATACAAATGGTCATCAAACATCAAATGTATTTAAAAGTTGCATAGAAATATGTAAAACATCCTATATCTTTTAAAAAAAAATCTCTAAAACATTGTATATTTTGAAACATAGGGAGTATTAAACAAAAATACAAATATGTAATTTGTCTATAAAAATATAAAAGAGATTTAAATGTTATTTCAAAAATAATGTAATAGATAAAGTAAGGTTTATAACTTTTTCTAATTATATTTCGCAATACTTTCTGGTTCAAGTTACACCAACATTGTATGTTAATTAGTATTCTCTCCGTCTCACAAAGATGAATTTTTTAGAAAAAAATTGGTCCCACAAAGATAGAAGTTTTGTGTTTCCAATGTAAAATTTAAAACAATTTACCTATTTTACTCTTATTAAATAACAATAAATAATATATTTGTTAAAATATTAAAAGGTTAAAATTGTAATTATACATTATTTCTTAACGAATGTAAAATTTCTAAAAAATCTATTTTTGTGGAACGGACGGAGTATCAATTGGGAACTTCGAATCATGGTGGAAAGCTGCAGCAAAGTAGCGCAATGAATGCGGCATCTATAGCTATGACAGTCAACACAATCTATAAGCTATAGCCACTACTATAGATCCTGTGGTCCTCCTCAGCCACCACAATAGGTCCAAGGTTCGACCACATTCAGAATCATCATTCTCCATTATCACCTCCTTAAATTATGCTCCTAATTACCGACCATACTACCAAACACAAATTATGATTCCAATTTAATCTCCATTATTACAACCACCTTCCCCTCAATAATAACCTCAATCAATTAAACCCTTTTCCATTATTATCATCCATATCTTATAAACACTTATTACAATCAAAACCTAATCCCTTTATATTCATTCATTATTACATCTCTCTTTCATTAAAGTAAAAAAAAAATAGTATTTAAAAAACGGAACGGGAACAAAATAGTAATGATCTGTTGAATAAGCTAAGTAATGACACCTCACTCTTCGCTTGCTTCCATTCATCATTTCTCTCTCTCTTCCCAAAAATCAAAACAGAAAAATTACCAAACCCTACCAATCATCGTCTTCTTCCTCCGTCCTTCTTCATCTTCCTCCTCTCAACGCGCCGCGCGTGTTCTCTAATCAATGGAGGCTCCAACGCCTCTCCTCCTTCTCTTCCTCCTCACAACCATAACCTTCTTCACCACATCCGTCGCTGACGACGGAACAGCAATGCTCGCTTTAGCTAAATCATTTAATCCTCCGCCGTCAGATTGGTCAACCACAACATCCACCGATTTCTGCAAATGGTCCGGCGTACGATGTACCGGCGGGCGTGTTAATATAATCAGTCTCGCTGATAAATCTCTCACCGGATTCATCGCACCTGAGATCTCGACTCTTTCAGAGCTCAAATCTGTTTCTATTCAACGTAACAAACTCTCTGGTAAAATCCCTTCGTTTGCTAAGCTTTCTTCTCTTCAAGAGATCTATATGGATGATAATTTTTTCGTCGGAGTTGAAACCGGAGCTTTCGCCGGACTTACTAGTCTTCAGATCTTGAGTTTAAGCGATAATAAGAACATTACTGCTTGGAGTTTTCCTTCGGAGCTTGTTGATTCGACTTCTCTCACTAAGATTTATCTCGATAACACCAATATCGTCGGAGTTTTGCCTGACATTTTCGATTCATTCGCTTCTCTGCAAGATCTCCGGTTATCTTACAACAACATCACCGGAGTTTTACCACCGTCGCTTGCGAAATCTTCGATTCAGAATCTTTGGATCAACAATCAAGAATTAGGAATGTCAGGAACGATCGAAGTGTTATCTAGTATGACGTCGTTGTCACAAGCTTGGCTTCACAAGAATCAGTTCTTTGGACCGATTCCAGATCTCTCCAAAAGCGAGAATCTCTTCGATCTACAGCTCCGGGATAATCAGTTAACCGGAATAGTACCCCCGACGCTTCTTTCACTGGGAAGTTTGAAGAACATTTCTCTGGATAACAATAAATTTCAAGGTCCTCTTCCTTTGTTTCCATCGGAGGTTAAAGTAACAATCGACCACAACGATTTCTGTACTACTAAAGCTGGACAAACCTGTAGTCCTCAGGTGATGACGCTTTTAGCGGTGGCCGGAGGTTTGGGATATCCATCAATGTTGGCTGAGTCTTGGCAAGGTGATGATGCTTGTAGTGGTTGGGCTTATGTTACTTGTGATTCAGCTGGGAAGAATGTTGTGACGTTGAATCTTGGGAAACATGGATTCGCCGGATTTATATCTCCGGCGATTGCGAATCTTACTTCATTGAAGAGTATTTACCTTAATGACAACAATTTGACTGGTGTTATCCCTAAGGAGTTGACATTTATGACTAGTTTGCAGTTGATTGATGTCTCAAATAACAATCTTAGAGGGGAGATACCGAAATTTCCGGCTGCGGTTAAGTTTAATTACAAACCGGGGAACGCGCTGTTGGGAACTAATGCTGGAGATGGTTCAACACCTGGAACTGGTGGTGCCAGTGGTGGTTCTGGTGGGTCTTCTGGTGGTGGTGGTAGTAAGGTTGGTGTGATTGTTGGTGTGATCGTGGCGGTTTTAGTTTTTCTTGCCATTTTAGGATTCGTGGTTTACAAATTTGTTATGAAAAGGAAGTATGGGAGGTTTAATAGGACGGATCCTGAGAAGGCTGGGAAGATTTTGGTTAGTGATGCTGTGTCTAATGGTGGTAGTGGTGGTGGTGGATATGCTAATGGGCATGGAGCTAATAACTTCAATGCGTTGAACAGTCCTAGTAGTGGTGACAATAGTGATCGTTTCCTTCTTGAAGGTGGAAGTGTTACCATTCCAATGGAGGTTCTTCGTCAGGTTACGAATAATTTCAGTGAGGATAACATATTGGGCAGAGGCGGTTTTGGTGTTGTGTATGCTGGAGAATTACACGATGGAACAAAGACTGCTGTTAAGAGGATGGAATGTGCAGCAATGGGTAATAAAGGAATGAGCGAGTTTCAGGCCGAGATAGCGGTGCTCACTAAGGTCAGGCATAGACATTTGGTCGCCCTATTGGGTTACTGTGTGAATGGGAACGAGAGGTTGCTTGTCTATGAGTACATGCCACAGGGAAATCTTGGACAGCATTTGTTTGAGTGGCGTGAACTCGGATACTCTCCTCTGACCTGGAAACAGAGAGTGAGCATTGCTTTAGACGTGGCAAGAGGTGTGGAATATCTCCATAGCTTGGCTCAGCAAAGCTTCATCCACAGAGATTTAAAGCCCTCTAATATCCTTCTAGGAGATGACATGAGAGCCAAGGTTGCTGATTTCGGATTGGTTAAGAACGCACCAGATGGGAAATACTCTGTTGAAACAAGATTAGCAGGCACATTCGGTTATCTAGCACCAGAATACGCTGGTAAGTTCATTTTTCTTATCTCTACTCATGTTAATTTCACAACGTGCTTAGTCTATGTTATCTTACTACATTCTGCCATTACGGCTTCATTTTAATGTGCTTATAAGTTCATTGGATGCATTGGATATTGATGTTATGATTTATGGTTGCAGCTACTGGAAGAGTAACGACGAAAGTGGATGTGTATGCATTTGGAGTGGTTCTTATGGAAATACTAACTGGAAGAAAAGCTTTAGATGATACATTACCAGACGAGAGATCTCATCTAGTCACATGGTTCAGAAGAATCCTAATCAACAAAGAAAACATCCCAAAGGCACTAGACCAAACCTTAGAAGCAGACGAGGAAACAATGGAGAGCATTTACAGAGTTGCTGAGCTAGCAGGACATTGCACAGCCCGCGAACCTCAACAAAGACCAGACATGGGCCACGCAGTAAACGTGCTAGGTCCACTTGTAGAGAAGTGGAAACCGTCGTGCCAAGAAGAAGAAGAGAGTTTCGGAATCGATGTGAACATGAGTTTACCTCAAGCTCTACAAAGATGGCAAAACGAAGGAACATCGTCATCGACAATGTTCCATGGAGACTTCTCTTATTCTCAGACACAGTCTAGTATTCCTCCGAAGGCCTCTGGCTTTCCTAATACCTTCGATTCGGCTGATGGTCGGTGACACCAAACTTTGTGTCGATCTGTGACTAATCGATGTTACTAAGTTTTTCTTTCGTTTTGGCTTTGGCTTTTTCTTTTTTAATGACATGATGATTATATTTATATATTGTAAGCACATATATTTGCGTCTGACCTCTTTGAGCTTTCGCATTTGTTCATTCTTTTTAAGGAAAATTGTATTACGTAGCTTGGTTTTGAGACAAAAAATGAAAACTCATACTAGTCTCAAATGGTGTAGAATCTTCACATATAACTTGTTATTTGTTTTTTTTTTACGTTTGTTTTGCCGCGTGAAACGGATATAACTTAAAAAAATGTAAACGTCTTAATCATTTGATGAGTGTTACAGGCTGTGTTTAATTGCGGAGCAATAGAAGCCAAAGACTTATTGCCACCTTTTACGGCTCAAATTTTGGATAATATTAGCGTGTTTGTTGTGTTGATAAGCTCGAGTCACAATCTTTTTTTTTTGGTTTACAATATTTCTTCCCTTTTAATTTTGATATACAAGACCAGTTATTACAAATGGAAGGAAGTCAAGTTTTTTTGGTTAGGGAACTATAGTATTAAGAAATGAGTCGGATCTTTTTGGAAAAATATTTGTCATCGATTTAGGAAAAATATATGTCATCAATTTACGAAAATTTGCATGGGAAAGTATTAAAGAATAAGTGATGGGAAAAGAGAGTATATAGATCGTGGCTGGAAAATTGATTTGGATTCAACAGCTACAGGTCTTATAACTTTAGGTGAAGCATATGGGTGATGAAAAAAAGAATGCCAAAAGTAAGATCCTATTTAAAAACACTTTAAAAGGGAATAAAGAAGAGAAAGAAGCATGTTACTTATATTCCCATATAGTTTTTTTTGGTAAGCTATATTCCCATAAAGTTGAAAAAGAAATAAAAGTAGGGTATATATTTTTTTTCTTTTAAATACTAAAAGCTGAGGTTTTATGCTAGGGTTTATATGTTAATCTTTTCTTCTTAATTGACTTTTAAAACTTTTTTATAATAAGAAATGGACATCTGAATCATTAATTAGAAGACAAAAAAGTGAAAAAGAAAAGGCTAATAACCTTTTTGTTCTGTCTAAATATCTTTAGGAACCAATTCACATGTGCATTGGTAATTTGGTCTCTTGACTTTATCCTCTCCATAATGAATGAATCCACAACGTTAAACTATTGGTTACTTATTTTTAAAAGAATTTACTTTAGTATTACACTAAATAGTGTTTAAGGATGAAGTAATGGATTTAGAAACGCGTTATGAAAAAGACCAAACTACCCTTTCTGATTTATCATCTTATTATGCTAATGTCACGACTAGGCCTGGGCATATGGGTAACCCGTTCGGGTTCGGGTAAAACCTGTTCGGGTTCGGGTTGAATGAGTAATGAATTTATGGTCCATTCGGGTATTCCTATGGTTTCGGTTCCGGTCCGGTTCGGGTACTGTCGGGTTCGGGTCGGTTTGGGTAATACCCGAAGTTTAAAATCACTTTACATACTCAAATGATCAAATAAGAGTAAATTTCAATCCAAAATCACATAAATCCGATTATTCGAAAATGAAAAACATAGAACAAGATAGAACAAGATCCGGTGATGCATAAATGATGAGTGATGACTTTGTTTTGAATCTTTCTCTCCTGACAAGAAAAAACAATCAAATGTTACTTACCTTAATCACTCAAAAGTCAAAACCATGAAAGTCAATGTAATTACTTACCTTAATCATTCAAAACCATGGATGTGGAATTCAGGTTCAAACTCTACATCACATTGACAAGTTAAACAGATTATAATCAAACTTTGAAACTGTAATTGGTAAGAAAAAAACTAAAAGAGAGTTCTAGGAAAAAAATTACCTCTCATAAGCTCATCTTCATCCACTTGATCTGCAAGCAGTTCTTTAATTGTTGACACTCCTCTTTCATTGATATGAATCTCAGATTTTAACCATTGCTCGATGCACATCAACACTTCTATCATGTAATGTGTTAAGCAGCTTCTGAATGGATCTAACACTCTACCACTAGTGCTAAATGTAGATTCTGATGCCACAGAAGTCACTTGCATAGCGAATATATCCTTAGCTATTAGAGACAGAACTGGAAACTTCCCACTGTTGAGCTTCCACCATGACAAGACATCATACTCTATTCCTTTTAAAATTTGCGGAGTCTCCACAGCCTCATTCAAGTATAAATCCAACTCATTAGATGATTTATGAATACCTGTTTCTTTCACAATATCATCAAATAAGTTTTCTATATCCTCTAATATAAGACCATTACCCACGACTGTTTCAACTTGCTCTTGGGACTGAGAACACGCTCCTTGTGACTGAGAAGATGCCTTTGAATTACTGCCTCCATTTTTACTCAACAAACTTGCTCTGCTATACTCATCATACAAATCCTTCAAGATTTGAATCACTGATTCAGAAAGAAGAGTAGCCTCTATACTACCTGTACCATACATCTTAGCAAAACAAAGCTCAGCAAATTTCATCTTCTTTCTAGGGTCAAAAACACTAGCAACCATCACCAACTTATTCATTTCAACTTGAGCACCAAACGGATCCCAATATTTCTTCACCTTTCCTAACATTGCTAATGCTTTCTTCTTAAGCTCTTCATCAGACTTTTTCTCTGTGTTTAAGGCAGTTAGGTTTCTAGCAATGTTGACTATCTCACTGTAGAGCTTATGAGAAGTAACATAAGTTGAACCTGAAAGAACCATTGTCGAATTGTAAAATATAGCAAGAATTTGAATTAACCTGTCAGCTGCATCCCAATCATCTGCCATAGGTGGTCCAATCCTTTTAGTTCCATCCACCTTTTCCTCAAAGTAGTCATTGTAGGGTTTATCCTCAGCCTCCATTTCCTCAAAAGCAACCCTAAACTGCACAACTTGCTCTAGCATGAGATAAGTAGAGTTCCATCTGGTCTTCACATCTAAAGGCAAGCTACCTCTTTTTATCCTTTTAGTATCACAACGCAAATCAAATGATTTAAGTCTGTTTGTTGAAGACCTCACATACTGAACCCCATTGCGAATACCAACCACACTACTATTCACTTCATGCATACCTTCCTTTACAACTAAATTCAGGATGTGAGCAGCACACCTTAAGTGCATATATTCACCATTCAGTACCAATGCATCATTTCCAATCAGCTTCATTGCTTTCTTGAATTTAGTCAGTGCAGAGCTATTAGATGTAGCGTTATCCACTGTGATGCAGAACACCCTCCTTATACCCCACTCATCCAAACATTCCAGAAGAACCTTGCAAATTGTTGCACCCTTATGATCAGTCACATGCTTGAACCCAGAATTACAATTGCAAGAACCCAAGAACTAACCTCTGAATGATTTCGCGATAGAGCTATTGGTGTTGAGTTGATCGGAATGTTCGGTGACGGTAAGGTCGCCGAGAGTGTAGCAACGAGGGTTTCCAGTTTTGAATTTTGATAATGTGACTCAAGAAGAGATTTTAATCAAGGAAGCCGAGATACTAGGGCAGTAGGGGAGAAGGAAACTCAATCGACGAAACTTAAAAATTAAAATCTAGGGTATATACATATAAGAGTATATCTAATTATCTATATACATATATAAATATATGTGTATTGTTTCGGGTTTATGGGTACCCGAAATGGGTAACGGGTAATACCCGACCCGAACCGATACCCACGGGTAAACCAATACTCTACCCAATGAGGTAATTTTCTAATACCCTAACCCGCCCCAACCCGGTTTTTTCGGTTCGGGTATCGGTTCGGGTATCGAGTCCGGGTTTTTTGCCCAGGCCTAGTCACGACATCACATAGATTCTCTTATGAATGTGGTCGGACCTACTTTTTAACTTATTATGATAACTTCGGTCTCTTTAAGTCTTAATTGCTATCCTAACCACAAATTTACATCTTAGAGAATGTGGGCAAATGTGTTTTGGAATACAAGTAAGATACGTTTGGGGACCAAATAAGAAGGTGCTTAGTTAGCCTAGATAAGAAGAAAATCACAAAAACAGTGAAAGCCCAACAAAGGCCTATAGATTAAGACATCTACTTTTATTTATGCTCCAAGAATTTGACAACAAAACGAAAATGACCTCCTCATTGAACGGTTGATATATATTCAAAAGATACCCAAAACTCTACATATAATGAAACACAAAATCAATTACTCATTGTACTTCTTTTTTCTCATTGTGGAAACAATAGACAGGAGCCTGCCATTTCTCGTCTTCTAGGACAGCTCCAACATCAAATGTCATCACATGAGCTTCTCTACCTGAAATAATCTTTCAGTATTTGGTCAAGCCAGATAAATAAAATGACTCATAATTCAATAGTATTATATAGTATAGTATCCATCACTTCACCTGTATAGAAGATCCATTGTACAGGTCTCTTGGTGACAATATCTTCATAGTACCATAAGAACTCAACTTTCTCCCATACGTTGCATAAAAAACCATTTACATGTCGTTGACCCAAATACTTTGCTCCATCTAGCCAATTTGGCCTCAAGATTCCAACCTTGAATCAAGTAAAAAAATAATCCCATACTAGTCTCAGAAACTTACTAAAGCGCTTATGTATCTGTAACCAATAAACATCTACAAAATCGACTGTAAAACTTTACCTAGGCATATACTTGAGTGTATCACTGAAAACAATGCTATGGGACTATGTTTCTATCATAAGCACAATCAAAATTTTCCCATCAAAAAGTCAAGGATGAATGGCTTGGAACCTCTAAATTAGTGTAGTCCAAAATATTCCTACGTCCTGCTCACTATTCTCATTTCTTAGATTACTGTTGTGTCTCATTTCAGCTTATCATTAATTATGACCATCACTTGAGTCAATTGTTAATACTCAGATGATCATAGATTCATCAATCAAAGAAGAAACAGAAGCATTTGACATGCTAACGCTCCCACATCGACACGAAAACGTCCATTTGCTTAGAACAAACACTGAGATCTAAGCCATACTCTCCATTGAATGAAATAAAGCCACCACAAAAACTAGGATAGACTCTCCAAGTCTCTTTTCGGTGTATTTCAATCTCGAAACAAAGCCAAAAACACTACAAAATTCATAGGGTTCCCAAATTTCTTCTTCTTGCTTCAAAATATGATGAATTTTGGTAGTTTTCTAGCC